CCTCCGTTTTAAAATATAATAAGCAACTTCTTCACCAACATTCTTTTTCTAACTAATCACAACTCTCCACCATTTACTTTTTTCACCTACCTCCACTACTCATCCAATCACAACCCTCCGCTGCTCACTTATATCTACTTTCTTAATAACCATGTCCAACCTTAAAAATTCTTATATTCTGGGACGGAAGGAGTATTATACAGGAATGATCAAGCTATCTACGAGTAGCTAGCTTAGGCTGAATTTGAATGATCAGCTTCTCGGTTTGCATTTTTCATACGCATGTTTTCTAAAATGTAAAAAATAATAATATATATACGCATTTATTTTAAAATTAAATAAATTTATTTTTTAAGTTTGTGATAGCTAATACTTAATCTCTTCTTTCTATAAAGCACAGCTGGAGAAAGGGGCATCAGTCCTAGTTAGTAACCCCCATCAGTTCATCTTCAGTCCCGGGTGAAAAAACCGGGATTAAAAATCCATTTTTACTCCTGGTTGGAGCCAAGCTAGGTCGGGTTGCTATTTTTTTTCCTTCTTTTTTTTCATTGTTTTTAACATTGAATATTGATTTCACTCCATTCCCAAATCGTGAAATCCTCAAATTATCACAGATCACATAATAGGATATCTCCGAATCCTCAAATCGATCATCTCCAAATACATCACAAATTCTAAAAAAAATTACATCACAATTTCTTTAGAAAAAAAATCAAAATTTGTGTGTACGTTCATTCCTGGTACACACTGCTTCGCCCCAAAAGAAAAATCAACGCATATGCATACATGAACAAATATATATTACATTACGATGCTCTCATATTGAGTGAATTGAATTTGCTAGCTGAATATACACTAACAAATAAAATAAGAGTACGTAGTAGTCCGTAATTAAGCAGTGGTGCGGGCGAGCTGTTTGAAGTTGATGGGCTTGGTTAATTGGGCCGGGCCGTCGTGGTAGGCCGCGGCGCTGAGCATGGTGGCCCTCTGCGAGGGGTGGACGCGGTCCCAGAAGGCCCACTTGTCGCGGTCGGCGCAGAGCGTGGAGCCCACCTGGCAGTCCTCCTCCGCGCCCAGCCTCCCGCTCCCGCAGCACGCGGCGTCAACGCTGGTGTACCCGGACGCCGCGGGGTCGGCGAACGCGAGCTGGCCGGCGGCGTGGGCGTCGGCGATGGAGTAGGCGAAGCCGGGAAGGCGCGCGGCGAGGTCGGAGAGGAGGGAGGCGAGGGCGTCGTTGAAGCCGGCGGCGAGGCCGTTGAGGTCGTCGCTGCAGGCGCCGGTGGGGCTCTGCGCTCGCACCAGCGGCACGCAACCGACCAGCCCCACGTTGATGATGCCAAACTTCCTCGCCCCCATCTCGTACAGCTCCTGCATCCATCCATAGATTGATCGATCTGATTAACGTCAACGTACAACGACGACCATGGCGGCGGCGTACAGTACACTGTCAGTGTCAGTGTATACGTACCGTGAGGGCGGCGGAGAATTTGGTGATGAGGGTGGTGTAGAAGGCGGCGACTTCGGCCGGCGTGGCGGAGCGGTTCTGCTGCTGCTGGGCGGTGGCGAAGACGAACATGTCGTTGTTGACGACGCCGAGGAGGAAGAAGGAGCGGGCGAGGTGGGCGGCGACGGCGCGGGTGCCGACCTTGGACACCATGGCCGCCCTCGTCGCCTCCATGCTCCGCAGCTGCGTCGACAGCGGGATGCATTTCCCTGCGTACTGCATATCATATATGCATATGCATTCAAAGTATATATATTCAGCAACTCGATCTCAGCTCACAATTAATGTGCTACGGGATATATATGTATTCTGATCTCTCTCTCTCGAGATGGATATATGTACGTAGAGAGAGGAGTATATATATTACAGTGGAGTCGAGAACGCCGGCTCCTCCGGAAGCAAAGCTGACGCCTCCGGTGAGAGCTTTGATGGCGAGAGTGAGATTGGCTGCAGCTGCAGGCCCCTGCAGCAGCGACAGGTAAGCCGGAGGGCTCTTCTTGAACCCCAGCTTCATTGCTGCATATATCCAACACACACATCGATCACATATGGAATTAGTGCATGGAACCATTAATTAATTAGGCACTAGCTAATATATATACTAATCAATTATGGAGATATATATAGACGACAGATTATACTAGTAATTAAGTATGGGAAGTACCTATGAAGTCGGCGACGTTGTAGCCATTGCTGAAGCGACCGGTAGGCTTGGAGGCAGGGTAGTCGATGCCGTTGTACGGCTTGTTGGCCCTGAACACATCCTTGCCGGGGAGGTAGTTGTTGTTGCCGACGTCCAGCGTCGAGTCACCCAGCACGAACACCGCCGCCACCTGCCGCTGCAGCTGAGCGCCGGCCAGCTGCTGCACTTGGAATAATAATGTTACTATGGATATCATCATCATCATCAGCCACGGACGAACAGTAGCGCTGCTCATCATGTTCTTCATCATTCTATATATCCAAGCTAGCTAGCCTACCAAATTAATTTGTGGGAAATGGTGCCAAGAGATCGAGGCTGCCACGCGTACTTATAGGCGCATATGCAAGCAGCTACTACCTCCGTCCCAAAATAAGTGCAATCGTGGAAATTCGTGTCTAACGTTTGACCGTCCGTCTTATTTAAAAACTTTATGAAATTTTTTTAAAAAATTAGTCACACATAAAGTACTATTCATGTTCTATCATCTAATAGCAATAAAAATAGTAATCATAAAAAATTTTCAAATAAAACGAACGGTCAAACATTGGAGATGAATAGTGCAAAACTGCACTTATTTTGGGACGGAGGGAGTAGCAAACTGGAACTAACTTTTCAACTCTACATACCTACATGCATATAGCTAGCTAGCGTACATATGTTTTTTTTTTTGGAGTACTGTCTACTGTGTTTGGATCAAGTCAAATTCAATTCTTATTGTTAAAACGTAACTGTACCTGCTGATCGATAGCTCCTCCAGTTACGTTGCTAATTAAAAGCACTTAAGAAACACTTGGTGATCTTGAAACAAGTTGGCTGCACGTACGTCACATATACACATAATAATATACACGTGCAGGAGAATGATATATTTAATTATGATCAGAAAGTAAGGGAAATGCATATATGGATGCATATATATCATTTTTTCTCGATGGCTAGATAATGAACTGGACGTACGGGCCCATATGCATGTGATCGCAAAAGAAGAAGAATATATATAAGGAAATATATATAATGCTGACTTGCTGAGCCGGCCGGCTGCGTTTGACACTTTGACTTTTCTTTAGCGTGTGTAAACATAATCCGCCTCTCCAAGAAAATATAAAAGGAAAATTCATACAAATATCGAGCGAATTGAAAAACTGACCAATCGATCGAGGACGATCCCTGCTAGCCTATCTCTATGAAATGATATTTCATCTAACGTTAACGGCCAGGCCGGGTTCGTTGGAGTGTCTGCATCAACGACCCCTTGCTTGCTACTTGCTACGTACTGGCTACTAGGCAACATTTTTTTCCAAAAGAAAAATATAAGCTACGTGGTACTTCCTCCTCCTTTGAATGTAATTAAGGTGATATGGTTTTGTGCAAGATGAACTTTAATAAGTTTGACAGGTTTATATGAAAACGTAACAACATTTTTAACACTAAAAAGTATATTATAAAATTAAATTTAATAATGGATTAAATAAAATTAATTTGATATTATAGGTTTTTTAATAAATTTAGTTATTAAACTTAAAATAAAATCAACGTAACTTACATTCTAAAACGGAAGAGGTATTGTCAAGATTATCATGGATGCATGCGCGTCTGCGGTCTGTGGGGCTGCTTGTTCGATCCAATCCAATCAACGCGACAACACATCCATTTTCAGCACCATGTACACATGCTACAATATATGCGCTAGTGTGGAGTATACCATCATCATATCGTCGTAGATGATGACAATATATGAAGAAATTGTTTCATCCAATAATTCGATGCCCCGACACAATAAAATGTGCCTTTAGCTCCACCATACGAAATGCTTGTCGGCCTCTTGTATGCACAGCAACTTTTTGTTTCTTTCACTGGAAAAAAGGGGGCATATTTGCAGTGGCGGAGCTAAGATAAAATTATAGTGGAGGCTCCTCAGTTTTTTTGGGCCTTCTAGCAATCTCAGACAAAGTCTATTTTAACCCCACGCTGCCTCCGCCACTGCATATTTGTAGTATGCTTGAATAGGTATTACATCCTATATATTGGTAAGTATCTATTTATCGATTATATTGATTTTTGTGTATATAATTATCTCGAATTAAAAACTGGTTCATTATAAGATTTCAGAATCACTAAAATTCTATTGAAGAAAAGGGGTGTAAAACTTTTGATTTTTCAGCGTCGGATGTGCTTTTATGGTCCGTGCTATTGGTGGAGAGAAAATATTTGTGCGCATCAGCCATGTTGTTTTTTTAATTCCACCCAAGTAATATAGAAGTTACATGGTATTACAATTAATGCAATTATATTATTGCCACATTTAAAAGTATTTTGAGAGATTTTTGTCGAAAGTCGTATAGCTAGCAAGTTCCATAGGATTTCCTCCAAGATATGGTGCATGCACATATGCTTGGATCGATAGGAGCTCGTGGATCATATGCGTGCATGGTATACACCGTCCAAATATCCTAGCCGGCCGGCCCAATCCAACATACATGCATGCATGGACATATTATCACATAGTACTAGTACTAGCTAGGTTGGAAGTATTCGCGTGTCGGCGAATATAATGTACGCAACGCACGAGTGAGAGTGCGTGCTCCACATGTCCGTCGTCTCGTCGGTGCCATCTTGTTGCACGCCCCACATGCCAATCCAATCATCACTAGCTTTATTTGCTCTTGCCCGGCCTGCTTCAATTCGGATCGATCAGATATATGGGCCGAATTCTTGGAGCCCAACACACACATCGACATGCCTCTTAAGTGGCGAGCCCACGTTATATGAAAAACTGGCGACCCAGCCAGCCCATCCCAGCCCACAACATCACATCCATCCCTGATCCAACCAAATCAAGCAATGTAATTCCTCCAAGTATCGACTAGACGGCCCAGCCCAAGTCAATAGCCTGTCTTCCTTTCATTCATGTGGTTTTCATCATGGATTTGGTTGAGGTATCCACTTCCCGTGAAGGGGTCAGTCAAAGGCTAACTGAGGGTTATAATATACTCCCTCCGTATTTTAATATATGACGCCGTTGACTTTTTAACCAACGTTTGACCATTCGTCTTATTCAAATTTTTTTATGCAAATATAAAAATACTTATGTCATGCTTAAAGAATATTTGATGATAAATCAAGTCACAATAAAATAAATGATAATTATATAATTTTTTTTAATAAGACGAAAGGTCAAACGTTTGTTAAAAAGTCAACGGCGTCATACATTAAAATACGGAGGGATTACTACGTACTATGTATGAGACTTTAGATGGAGTAGATATACATAGGTAAGCTTGATTCTTATGCTACATAGTTCACAGTCACCTCAAAATGTGTTCAACAACGTTTGTTGTTATTCTAGGAGTGCTTTTTGAGATGCTGGAGGAAAACCATACCGTAAAAAGTTCAAACCATTCAAAGTTCTCCAATGAAGCTAGTTAGTCAAATTATATGAACCAACCCCATTATCATTATCATGAGAACTAGTTGGGTGGCCCGCGCAATTGCGCGGCTAGCACCCACAAAATTATCTAATTTTTCACATGATTCTAATTAAAATTTTATTAAATATCTATCTCGTTGTTTTAGGACTTTCAAAGATCGAACATTATCATCCCCGGGTTTATAATTTTATAATTTTTAAAAGTCACACCCGTTGCTACCCTTACTCCTTTGTCACCCCTTTATTTGTTGTGCGGCTAGCACCCATCCAGAATTATATATTTTTAAGCATGGTTTTATTTAAATTTGTTAAATAGCCATCTAGCCGATCTTAAAAGATTGAATCTTATTATCATCGGGTTAGTTTTTAAAAGTCAATAAGTCGTCACCCCTTACTTTTTTACCACTCATTTATTTGATTGCCCGACCTGTCACAACTTTTATTCATCCTTTTTGAAACTTTCATATTTAGATCTTATAGTTTTTTAGTTCATTGTCTTGTCGATTGACATATTTATATTTTTAGAAGTTACATCAAATGTCGTCATTGTACTGTTCTACAATCCACCCGATGTCTCCTCTTAGTATCGTTGTTTTTTTTCTTTTTAGAAATCCAGTCAAACGTCACGACTGCGCTCCTTGACGGCTTGCCCGCTGCTGTTACTCTTAATCGTCATTGAGATTTTTAAAATTGAATCTAATCATCATTTATATTTTTATTATTTTAAAATGTCCCATCAACCGCTACACCCTATTTATTTATTTATTTACGGCTCACCCGTTATCCCTCCCTCTTTATTGTTATTTACCATTGTTGTGTTACGGGTTGTTCTTTTAATATTTCTTTTTTTATTTTGAACTTTTGTTATTCATAAATCGTATTCTTTCTTAAACTTTTGTTTTTATTTTTCTAATTTCATAATTTATTTTTTAAATTTTAATTAATCACATGTTGTGTCGTATATGGTTTTTTCTTTTCACAGTCTTTATTATTATTATTATTATTATTATTATTATTATTATTATTATTATTATTATTATTATTATTATTATTTCAAATTTAGTTACTTATAAATCATCTGAATTGCTGGTTGTATATTTGGTGATTAAAAATGATCGAATAGATAAAGAGACAGTCGCTTCATTTTTACTGGCAACAAATATATCAAAGTATGTTCTAAATAGTTTTGAAGTGATTAGACTGAAAAAATAATACTTACATGTGCACACGTATATACACGGCTTTCTGCCTACCTAGTTCCTGTTTTGCTTTTTTTTTTCCACTGGAATCAAATAGGTTTAGATGACAGTTTTGGAATTGGATCTCGATTATTCCATCGAGCAGGGCGCTTTGTACTCCTGTATTAGCACTACAACTCTAATTCCTATATTTATATAATTGGTTTTATTATTAGTCTATGTTAAATAATTCTAAGTAGTGTCGAACATCCATCGTCACGTCCAATCTATCGCCAGCATTACTAGCCTATCTGTTGTCAACCTGCCGATGCCGCTGCTCACGTACTACGGTATACAGTAAGGCCTTGCATTCTTGTTGCAGCAGCCCTTTTTCACCCGGAAGGCGATCCGGCCATGGATCATCCACCAAGATTCCTCTAGCAATGGGTTTGATAAGACTGCACCTTAATTCTATTGGTTATTTCAGATTTTGTTTGACGCAGAAATTAAATTGCAAATTCTGGAATCAGGACTACGATTGAGCACATGTATACTCAGGAAATCACATTAACTAAAAGAAATACTCTGGAAAATCAACACATGCTTGAAACTCTGTGATCAGCCAGCTGCAACCACCGTACTTCCCTATCAATCCAAATTCTGACAGAGACTCGTCAACGCTGTATCATGTAGAGCATCTAATTTGGGTATTAGAAATCAGCAAATGAGTATGTTGTTCATTCGATGGGTTAGATAATACTTTCTTTATATATAATCTCGTATTGATTCCAGAACAATCCCATATCCATATGATATCTGTCCACAGCTATGCGTTAACACATATCGATCATTGATTCGGCATCTTGGGTTTGACACTATGTTATTCGGACCAGATCATCCAGGACCATAATTAAGCCTCAATCGCCCAACCAATATCCAATTACAAATCCAATTAACTATTCACCTGATGACCTCAAGTAGTCTTAATGATGCGGACTTAATCAACAACTTCGTGGCAGGCACATCGTTTCAGTTTCATCTTTGTCCTCTCCACTGTTGTTGTGCTGAAAAGAAGGGTCTCTGAATCTGAAACTCTTTTGCCCTGCTTGAATTGACAGCAATTCACAACAGATGAGGAAGGTTAATACCACAAATTTAACACTAGGACAGCAGTCTGGAGAAGATCCATTAACTGAAAAGAGAGAGTTGATATATGATAGTACCTCCAAGCACACAAGGATATTATTCCATCTAGTGGCCGGTGACACTACTAGCTTAGGAGGAAACTAGCAGCACACTTGCATTGACACTAGACTCTGAAAGAGACTTTTGGCAAAATCCGTGATGCAGCATCGATCCCTGTCAATTCCAAAGATTCCTCTAATTCTTCTTTGGATGGTGGCCAACACTCAGGCATTTGGAGCTGTTCAGCCCGTGTGCTAATTAAGCTTCGGAGGCTGTACACGTAATGTGGTCGCTTGTTTGTTGTGTCTGAACATTTTCTTCGTTTGCTAGCTAGCTGCAGTGGGCCAGTGTTGGCAGCACTCACGGGTCACCGAGCTTGCATTGTCATGTAGTAGTAGGTGATCCAAAGTGTACTGACGTCTACTCCTAGATTGCCCTGCTAGAAGCTAATTAAGTGGACTGACAATATAAAAGAGGAGATAATAATTGAATTGAATTGAAATTACTACTACAACTATTGTTTTGTTCTGAAAGGAAAGAGAGAATAAAATTGTTCAGAAAGGAGTAGCAATTATGGGCAAGAAAGGGAAACATGAGCTTACATAAATTACATAGGCTCGTGGCAGTCTGCTGATCGATCGGCTAGCTGGAGATCACGGGCAGCTTTAAGCTATACTACTAATATATGAGTAATTAACCACATACTAGTAATATAGTATCAATTAAAGAATATGAAGTAGGGTAGTAGGAGCAGCATGATGAAATTGATGATGGATGATATGAATATGCATGTCCCCATCACACACGAGTGACTCTCACCATCCATTTCTCAAGCTCTCGATCTCCACCTCGCATTTGCCTCTTCGATAAGCTATAGAGAGGCTATAATATATTGCAGCAGCAGCAGCAGTGGTGGTGGTGGTTTTGGTAGTGGCTGGGAGTACATTTGATTTGAGCCATGGACGACAACGGCGACGTCCATTTCTGCCACAGAGCCACCGCCGTCGTGGCGCTGCTTCTTCTCCACCTTGTCGTCGTCGCCAACGCCGCCGCCCACTCCTGCGATTGGTGCACCCCGCGCCACTCCACCGTCTCCATCCTCCCCACCCCCACGCACGCCGCCCATCTCACCGGCAAGTCATCACCTCAACTACCCACCCTACCTATGGAGTCGATCTACCTACGCATGCATAGTCCGATTCATGCATTATCTAAGCGATCGAGGTTTTCGTGGATGCAGGTGGCGCCTGCGGGTTCGGTGCCGCACCAATGGAGCTCAACGTTGCCGCCGTCACCGCCGACCTCTTCCGCCATGGCCATGCCTGCGGCGCCTGCTACCAGGTAGTTAACCTACTCTGCTTTTCTTTTTCAGTAATCCATTCCATTCACGCATCCTCAGAATCCGTCAAGGTAGCAAGCATGAGGAGGCTGATCGATTCTGCTGCTGGTTAATTTGAGATGCAGTTAAGGTGCAGAGACCGGAGACTGTGCGGGGAGGACGGCGTCAAGGTCGTCGTCGCCGACATGGCGAAGCAGCCGGAGCAGGAGGGGGAGATGAACCGGACAGCCGGCGGCTCGCTGCAGTTTCGCATCACCGAGGACGCCTTCGCGGCCATGGCCAAGCAGGGCGTCTCCGCTCACGAGCTCACGAGGCAGCGCACGCTAGAGGTGGACTTCAGGAGGATACCTTGCGAGTACAGGGAGAGCAGGAGGTTGGCGGTGAGGGTGGAGGAGGCGAGCAGGAACCCGACCCACCTCGCCATCCGCTTCCTGTACCAGGGCGGCCAGACCGACATCGCCGCCGTTGAGATCGCGCAGGCGAACGCTACACCGCCGTCGTCGTCGTACTATTCGTCGTGGAGGTACATGACGCGGCGCGACGGCGCGCCGGGAGTCTGGACGACGTCGCGCGCGCCGGTCGGCCCGCTGCGGCTCCGCGTCGTGGTGACGGCCGGCTCCGGCGGGAAATGGCTGCGTAGCGACGGTGAGGTGCTTCCCGCCGACTGGAGGCCCGGCGAGGTGTACGACACCGGCCTTCGGGTCACCGACGTCGCCGTGCGCTCGTGCAGCCTCTCCTGTGCCATCCAGGACATGGACAGCGATGATGGAGAGGAGGAAGAGCTCAGATGACAATTCGATCGACGTGATGAAGAAGAAGGCGTCCTTATGCAGAGGCGTGGAGGATGGGATTAGTCGGCGGCGGCGGCGGCGAGAGGCTTGGTACGCCACTGCACCGGCGACGCGGATGGGAGGCGGCAGAGAAGGAGGGAGTCAATACGCTTTGGAAGTTACAAAGCCAGGGGCTTTTATGTAAAAGTGAGAAACTGATAACCTCTCATCGCGGACCTGTGAAAAAATGTAGCCACCCATCGGTAGCGCAGCAAACTTGGACCTTCTTGGAAAGGCAAATTTTGCCATTCGACATGGCCACTTCGTGATATTTTTTTTCTATAGGATATAGTAGAAATCGATATTTTGGTAACACACTGTTAAAATGTGAATTTTTAGTGCTAGACACTGTCCCTGCTATTTTGATATTTTCGACTGATAAGAGTAGAGAGAAAACTTTAATAAAGTTCAAACACACTCCTCGCAACCTTGTATTCTTGTTTTCCCCTCTGCCGCTCTCTCTCCCGCCTCCTGCGGCAGAAGGAGAACAACACAGCATTGCAGAGAGATTGATTGGTCCTGATCCTGACAAATGGCTGTTGCGATCTCTTGTGGAGAATTGAGCAATAGTACTATTTACCTGTTGGAAAATGTATCGTCTCAGATTGCTAGTTCGCTTTCGATCAGAAGTGGACCACAACCAATGGGCCGGGCCGGTACGTGCTAGGAAACAGTGGGCCTTGAAATAATTACCGGGCCTTTATTTCAGGCCCATTAGCCGAGCCGAAGCCGAGGAAGAAAGCATCATCATATCTGTCTCCTCCCGAAACCGAGGACGACAAGAGCGCGAGCTCCGGCGATGGGCGGCGGCGGCGGAGGCACGACGTTCACCATCCCGCACAACAAGCGGTGGCACACCGTCGCCGGCAAGGGCCTCTGCGCCGTCATGTGGTTCGTACAATTCCTCCCTCTCCCCAATCCCCTCGCCCATCCCATTTCCCCCCAAATCTGACTGCGACCTTCCCGACCTGCCTCCTCGTCTCCGCTCCTCTCCTCTCCCAGATGAGATCCCTCTCCTCCCCGCGGAGACTTCTCCTCCTAGATTCAACTGTTTGTGCGCTATTTATTCAAGAGGCAGGCAGTTCTAGATTTTTGGATGCCCGACTTGGGGATCTCTCGAATAGGGACCAGTTTACTCATCAGTTATCGTTTGGGCCATGGGACTCATCGCTGTATCAGCTAGATTTCCTCATGAATAATCGATCTTTTCTTTAACTGAAAAACATGATGAGTAAGCATTAGGCACAAAAAGCAAACATTGTGGAAACTGTTTCGCCAGATTCTTGTTTAACAAACATTGAGCTTTAGACAAACAGCAAATTAGGGTAAAAACCTGGTCTGTGAAGAAATGGCTTATACTATCAAACTGATCACCAAATAAGCACTGACAACTGAACACTCAACCACTGATAATTAAGCAATTTTGATGTCAGCACCACCGCCACTGAAAGGATCTACTGGGTACCAGCCTACCTGAATGTCACAACTTCACATCGCAATCTTTGAAGATGCATGACTGTATAGTCCTTAGTTCTTCCGTCCAATCTCTATTATTCAGTCACATATTTTCTTATCTTTTTCTCGATGAAGTCATTTGCAGCCTACTTTTAAGCTTCTGCTCCAACAGCTTACTGTGGCAACATGATTATAGCAATTCATTGTTGAACTTTTTTTTAACAATGTGGGTTTTCAATATTTTTTACATTTATAACCTAATGTGGTGTCTGTACAGGTTTTGGGTTTTCTACAGGGCTAAGCAGGATGGTGCTGTTCTCTTGGTACTATGCTATTTCGATTTACTCCATCTTAAGTTATCTTGATTCATCTATTTTTAATAAATCATACTGCTTTCAGGGTTTGCGTCATCCTTGGGATGGTCATGATGACCATTCTCATGGTCATGGACACGAGCATGAGGTATTAAATCAAAACCATTTTTTCTTTGCTGGCATAATAGCTCATGTTTGAACTCCTTTTTATCAATAAGAAGCCTGTGGTGATTTTGGGTGTGTTTAGTTCACGCCAAAATTGGAAGTTTGGTTGAAATTGGAACGATGTGATGGAAAAGTTGGAAGTTTATGTGTGTAGGAAAGTTTTGATGTGATGGAAAAGTTGAAAGTTTGAAGAAAAAGTTGGGAACTAAACCAGGCCTCCCTTTACCCTTTTCTTTGATTTTGGGAATCGAGAATGTAAAAAGTGCATCAGAATAAATGAGGGAAAATAACTGAAATTCTGGGTTGTTTTGTATCTTACTGCGCTGTAACATTTGTAGGCACCTCTTGACTGCTAATCACAAAAGCACATCTACCGATTGTTTATTTTCATCATCATTTGAATGCCATTGCCAGTTCAGTTACTGGGGATACCAGTTACATGTCGATGTAGTTCAGTTAGGCATGACAGAATTTCATGGAGGTACCAAATGGATCAGATGATGAGCTCATCCTCCCTCCCTCCTGAACTGTAGCAATGCTCCTGTGTTGAGCTGTGAAAAGCAAATCTTGGGTATCAATAGGCCTTTTATGTTTGATGTCCGTTAGCAATGCCTGCCTGACAGTTCCTAGTCCCTAGTGATAACCTGATCCAGAGTCTTTTAATCAGATTAGTAATGGATTTGTATTGTCTCGTGCAGGGTTCATCGTCGCCTCATTAAACCAACTGCTTCTTAGTGGCCGAGGGAGACTCACTGCTTTGGTTGTTGCAATGAAAGCCCTGAAGTTAATAAAGTACAATCTATTAAAACTAAGATGGGTTTTCATGTTGTTTTCAACTGTTTAATGCAAACTGGTTAAGTATTTGCTTTTGAGATAGCTTCAATGGTGGAATGTGTGGCTGGAGAGGAATAAAAGAAATTTCAGGATGATCACCAGCAGGAAGAACGGGTGGTGGCCTTGGTGATTCAGAACATGAATGAAAGAGTGTTTACGATTAATAATTTCATAGGGTAATTCACTCTTTTATGCACGCTGTGAAAGTTGTATAATTCTGGGTTTGTAATCATTTGAAACTGTCATAAACACTTCTTTTTCTTTCCTGCTTAATATAAGAACAGGCAGAGCTCTACAGTTGTTGCTCCAGAGTAGGCAAGTTGATTTCCATTTTCCTATTATAACTAGATGATCAAATTAAAACACCGCAGCATATGCATCAGTTGACGGTCGTCGTCGTTTATGGATATTTGTTCATGGTTACAGCAATAGAAAGAGGAATGGTCGAGCTATATATGACTGAAGCAGGTGGTTTATTTAGAATGTTGCCTGAATTGTTGGCAAAAGTTTTTGGTGCAGTGCTTGGCTGCCTCACTCTCCCACTGATACTCCGCACTGCTGTAACTAACGGCTCGAGGAGGTCTGTTACTAATTGTTATGTACTCTTGGCGTGAATTAAAATCTTGCGATTAAGCAGCAGCTGGAGGGGCTTGTGAATAGTGATGTGTGGCAAGTTGGGTTAGTACTCTAGCTAGCTGGAACTGTGGCTGGGCCTCGAAGCACTCAAGCAAGTAGTGTAAAAGGCCACTTGGCTTGGCTTGTGCTGGAGGAGGCGATCGATGTGTTTCTGCAACCGAGGTCGATGGAGGCAATATTTGCACGCACGCATGGCATGGATGGATGGATCGAGCAATGGAGAGTGTCAGATCAACAGGGCCAGCTATAGTATTATTATGTGCGACGGCCTGAATCTGAATGTCAGCTGTGGCAGGCAGATCGATCAAGTTGGAGTATCTGCATGGATGCTCATCTTGATCACAGTGCTAGCTCAATGCATTGCTAGCCGTTTGCTTACGCTTCAGTACTGGATGGATGTATCGATCGACCAATATACAATTTGACAGCCAGCAGGTGATGTGGCAGGTCGTATATATTTATCGTTGACATCTGCCACAGCCCACGTGTGGGGTACATGCTAGCTGGAAGCCATGTCAGTGGCCAACTAGACACTTTTCAATTTTTACTCATTTTTCCTGTTTTTGTTCAGAGTTAGGGATTTGTGTTCAATTTAAACCGGTGGCGGCCTCCATGACCATGAGCTGATCTAGGTCGTCGACCCGTCTCAGCGACACTCCGCAATGAGGTAAGTACACTGGCCGTGGTGTCCTAGGGCTTGTTTAGGAAAGCTTCTCATAATCTAAAGCTCTCGTAAACATGACCCTAGTATTGGTAGCTTAATTAGGAGGAGTCTCCAGTAAATACACATACTACTACTATATAGCTAGCGATTAAACAAAAGAGACTCTTATGCCCTTTGATGCCTCTTGTTCCATCGGTTGATATATATATAACTGAGAGCTAGCTAGACATGCTTATATATCGACCATAATATTGTGATATTGTCGTCTTGTGTGCTAATGCACCCATCGCCATTGATCGGTCAGTAAATTTCTCTTCTCGTTAATATTGTAGTGCTAAGTTACTGCTAACCAAGCATGCATGCACCATTTTGATAGGCAGGCTAGCTACCCGGGCGTTCCAATTCGATTGGGTGCAGCAGTAGGAGACATATATATTACAGTTAATTATAGTTAGGGTTCCAGTAGCTAGCAGCAGGGTTAGGTAGGTAGTAGCAGATCGATCAGCACGAAGCACAAGCGAAGCATCTGCCCACCCGCCGAGAAATTGCCAGCTGCAGCCTGCATGCCTCGATGGATAGATATACTATTAGCTTTGTAATTTGCTCCTCCTCGCCTCGCGGATCATGTCCTTGTAGCCTTGTCCGATTTAACCAATCATCATTCGCAGATCTCTTTCAATCGTCAAATTATAAACCTATCTATCTATCATTAACCACCCACTCGTGCGCATGCACTGATCACTAGCTCACGCTAGCTAGTATATCTATCTCTTAATTAGTCCCTGTTTATGGAGCTTGAGCTGTAGCTTTCTTCTAAATTTTTCAGCTTTTAGAAGCTCTTCCAAACAGTGACGGAATCTGAAAAATTAACTGGAAGTTAGAAGTTGAGAAATCCATTTGTTTCAAATTCTCACAAGTTAACTGTTTTAATGTATGACACTGTTAGTATTTTAGATACTTTTAATTATTTGTCTTATTTAAAAATTTTATTTAACTATTATTTGTTTTGTTGTGACTTGATTTAATATAAATGGTTTTTTAAGAATAACTTATGTATGCATAAAATTTAAATAGATGGTAAAAAAAATCAACGGTTTCATACATTAAAAAACAGAGGTAGTACTTCTTGAAATCTTAAATTTCCCTCAGTATCTTCATCGGCTGGCCGGGCCTCTCGATATGCATGCTGAGAACTCCTTCATCCCAAACTATAAGGCTCAACCATTCCTATTGCAAAGATTGAAGAAAAATTTAATCACCTTCTTGGTGAGATCACATCGATACTTGCTAGCAATGTGTTAGGCCGTTTTATGGTAGAGGATTTAAAATAAATTAAATTTAAATGATTAAAATGTGATAGTTAATGTATGCATGTAGGCACGTTTTATATTATAAAACATGAAAAAAATAGTTCTGGGAGGGAAGGTGTACGATTAATCGATAGATGCCCACTTTAGTTGTTACCACCAAAAACTAGTTAAATAAAGCACAAACTTGATTTCGGCCACCAGGCATCAGCTAGCTACCCTTCCAAAGCTTCTTCTCTAGTTTGACATTATCTAATATTTTTAGATCTTTCTAAAATAATCATTATATAATTAAGTGTCTTTTCATTTATTTGTGTAAGAAATAAATGGATATTGTTGAATATACAACATGTATACAACTAACCAAGATTAATTTATGTCGGTATAATTCCTTATAACATTTAAAGCGGGATGCAATCTGCGAAACACGAAGCAACGCAACACCCTGATCGATGGAAAATAATTTTAGAGCCATGGAAGTTTTGTTGTATTTGATCTCAACACCTTTTAAATTGGTGATAATTAAACTAAGATAGAGAGAAAAAGTACTGAGTAAGTATACACCAGTGTCGTCGGCTAATAATTAAGTGATGTCTACTAATTGTAACTTATACTAGTACATTGTACAATACACAGTACAACACAATATGATCAGCAATGTACTGGCTAGCTAGAACTGAAGCTTGCATACTATAGTACACAGTATAGGTCTAACGTTTAGTGGCTGCATATGCAGGCAGCTGTCCTGTGTCTGATCTGGCCTTGAGATCTGTCCAGCTTATTAGCTAACTGACGACGCGTTATACAGTAGCTAATCTCCTAGCTTGTTTGTTTGTCTGCGTGCGACCATTGCATGCATGTCTCGCGGATCATGTCCCTCCCTGGCCTGCTGCTAAATTACTAGTGATCGATATATAATTGCTGATCGATCTGCTGCATCGATCGATCATTCATACGCGCATGCACACGCCCGACACAAATGTCCTCTCGAGCGTCGCGACTCTTGTGTTCGTTGCGAAGACAAGAACTACACGCTCAAATATCATATCTTATATATGCGTCGTATTAAGTGGGAACATAGTCTGTACATACAAACTTTACATATACACACTCTGTATACATCAACTAACAAATGTTATCAAAAATCTAAAAAAATATGCATATACTTTCAATTATATTACACCTAAGTGTAAAATCTTATCCTCAAATTCTTTATATTTTAGCCGTAACAGAAAAAAACAAATTTTAATAGTTTATTAAGACTATAAGACTGTCAAAATTTTATCATTTTTTTCTTCCTAAGTACGATGAATTTCAATGAGGCTTTACACGTAGATGTAATACTATTGAAAATGCATTTAAATTTTTTTAAAAATTTTTAGTAATATCTTTTAGTTGATTTGTAAGGTGTGTACACCTATAGGATATGTTCCCTGTTATGCATGTGTCCCTCTACGACACCAACGGTCAATACTAGGATACACAAATACGATACTACTATCACACATCTGTCTGTCTAGCTATCCCTGTGCTGGCCTAGCTAGCCTGCTTGCTGATTGCATTGTATTGCTCCTCTCCTGCATCTCTCCATATGCATGCATGCATGAGTGATGTGATCTACTTTCACTCCTTAAATTATAACCGTGCAACCCAACCCATCCTAATTAACAGACGATGCAATGTAAAACTGATCAAGGCCTTAAGCAAAGCGGCCTAGCTAGCTGGCTTAAATTTCTCTTGACAAGTTACCAATTAAAAAGAGAGAAATATATATATATCGTGATGACAGGAAGCTAGCTAATTAACCTTTTACAACTACTGCATGCAGCTTGCGAGCTTTAGCTCAGTTTTGATCAGGAAATGTACGTTAAGCTTAGCTTGCTCCGCTGTCACCCAATCTCGATCGATCTGATATCTGATTTGTTCAGAACACTATCACACAAATTACAGCTGATTAGTTAAGGGGGAAATTAAATTGAAGTGCAGAGACGACGTGAAGAGAGGTAGAACAGAAACCAAGAATGATCCCTCCACGGTGGCCATCCTGCAATGCCAGTCTGCCACTTGTCTCCTCTGACAATTAACCAGCAAAAACCTCAGATCGATCACCATCCACGCGCATTTCAACTTTCAACTCGCCCCATATCACATGCGTTTTTGTCAGACACCAACCAACCCCTAGCTTAACAAGCTGCTGCTTCACCATTGGTGAGTAGTGTTCGATCTCTTGTTAATTTGTTTATAAAAACCGCGCGCGCCACAGACGCACGCACGCAGGGATCGATGGCGCCCAGCTTCGCACGCTCCATCTCCTTCCCGCTCAGCCCTTCCAGGTCGTCGTCCAAGCACAGCTCTCCACCCGCAACGCCGGGTTACCATGCTCGATCCATCAGCCTCCCATGCCGCTCCCACCCAATCCTCGCCCACCTCCACACCCACATCCGCGCCGTCCGCTCCTGGGCGCACGACCCCACCTCCGTCGCCTCCGGCCTCGCCCACCTCGACGCGCTCCACGCCGCCCTCGGTGAGCTCCTCGACCTCCCCGAGGCCCAGGCCGCCCTCTCCGCCGCCAACGACCGCCTCCTCGACGCCTTCCTCCGCCTCGCCGACGCCCACGGCAGCTTCCAGGAGACCGTCGTCGCGCTCAAGCAGGACGTCGCCGAGGCCCTGGCCGCCATCCGCCGCCGCGACGGCGCGCGCCTCGCCTCCGCGGTGCGCTCGCAGCGCAAGGCCGGGAAGGAGCTCGCCCGCCTCGCCGCCGCCGCGAGGGACGGCGCCAGGCCGTCGCGCCTCGGGCTCGGCGGGAGCGCGGCGGAGGTGGAGGTGACCGGCCTGCTGATGGAGTCGGCCGCGGTCACCGCCGCCGCGTCCGCGACGCTTTTCAACACCGTGGCGTCCATGTCGGCGTCGGCTTCGGCGGCGGCGTGCTCTTGCCGGAAGACGGCGGCGTTGGTGTGCCTGATCAAGAAGACGTCGGCGTCGTCGGAGGAGGAGAAGGAGACGATGGCGCTGGTGGAGAGGCTGGAGGAGCTGGAGGAGTGCATCGATGAGCTCGACAACGGCAGCGACAAGGTGTTCAGGAGCCTTGTGCAGACCAGGGTTGCACTGCTCAACATACACACCCACATCTTCTAATTCATTTGCTACTAGTCGTCGCCGCCATCGTCGCCGTCGATCAATCACACGGCGAGCCGCCTAGCTACCTAGTCGATATGATCGTAGTCAAGTGCAAAGTGCTGTAAATATTCCAAAGTTTTTGTGCAGCTACGTAGTACATGGAAATGTGCTTCATCGCTGTGTATTGCACCTGCATTCTGACACATGTACTGTTTTTGCCCTGTAAAAATGTGTGCGTTTTTACTCAGAATTTTCCACGACAGCTCATGCCGGCTAATTATAGCTCAGTAAGTTGTTGAGATGTTCACTTAATTTAGTGTTTCTGTGATTTACATTGTTCAAAGTATCAAGTGGTTTTGGAAAATGTTGATTCGATATCTCAAAAACAATACGTCCTGGGACGTCGTTTTGTGCGTGTTTCTTGCGCCTGATCGATGAGTATCAAAATTTAATAAAGTATATATGTATATGCTAGCTACTTCATGATACACATGCATGCAAAAAACCTGCTCCGATCGAGGAACTTGCATACGTTCTACTTCATAGTGAATGTGAGCATATATATGTCTAGATTCATTAACATTTAAATGAATATGGACAATGCTAGAAAGTCTTACATTATGAAATGGATAGAGTGCTAGTAGAATTCCCCTTCAAAGTATAAACTATTATGCAGAAGAGTAAATAGCAGTACACAATTTAACTGGGCCAATATATGGATCAATATATGGAGATCGGTAACAGTAACGATGCACATGCAAATTAAGGCCCATCAATATTGTTGGTGGTACCAACTCTTTTACTGAAAGCTATATTCAGGCCGCATATGTAGTTCCCGTAATGTTGGGGGGAGCTATTTATCAACTAGTACTCCTAGTTCAATTGCTAATGGAAACCGACCAGTTACAATGCACTGATATATTGCTAGTCTTATCTATAATTTTGCCATTGCAAATTAAATTCATGAATGGATATAATTGTACATATCACCTCCCCTCCATCCCGGCCTGTTCTGATTTGGCAAGTGATAGTGTTCCTCACCTCTTAGCGTTATTGACCGAATGTTATTTTCGCGAAAGCGTAAAAAGAATTGCACGTCGATATATTAGAAGAAAGCAAGGTTTCAATTACACAACGTAATCGTCCGGATTGCCATTGCTAGGGGACAAGAGAGAAAAAGAATCAAAAACCCAAAAGACCGAAAGAAACCTCTACGACTTTGTAAATGCTGCTCTTATACAACGGGAGGTTTGTGGTGGAAAACTCCACGAAACTCCCGACAGGTCCCCAAACGTCACGGCGCCTGCAATATACCACAGACGGCCCTATTGTAGTATGGAATCCAAAACCACTAAGACCGAAAAAAGAGAGTAGCTGACAACCCTAGAGTTTTGCTCATTCCACAGCTGCAAGGAAACTAGAAGGAGCAAGGAGTCGAAGCCTTGAGAAGATGATCCGATAAACAGACCCTAAATGATAGCCACCAAACCTGAAGAGAGCAACCATGGGAAGGGACGAGGTTTGACGAGCCAGAAGGGGAAAGGACATGGTGCTAAATCTGGCGGGTGAATACACAGTTAAGAGTAAGCAAGCATTATTGTTTGAGAGTTTCTTCTCAGTAATCATATTGTTACTGACATTTATAACTCCAATTTTCTCTAACATACATCTTAATAATTTTTGGTTGGCTTACTTTTACCGACCTGGCAAAAAAAAAAACCTTGGATCAAATCACTTCAAGAGATAATACCCGTCCCATTTACACACCTCCTCAAAGGCCTTGTTTAGATTCCAACTTTTTTTTTTCTTCAAACTTTAAATTTCTTCAAACTTTCCTACACACGTAAACTTTTAACTTTTCCATCTAATTTCTTCAAACTTCTATTTTTAGCGTGGAACTAAACAGAGCCAAAGTATGATGAAACCACTGAGGAGAGGAGGCGTATGGGTGGATGGGGCGATGGGGAGTGAAGAAAAGGACAAAGGAAACGTGCGGCGGGCTTGGTGGGCGATGGAAGAGGACAAAACATGGCATGATGGATATGTTTTGCTGCTCGTACGTACAGTACTACTGACCGTACAAATTAACAAGCAGTTGATTGATGTGTTGCAAATGGGGCGGCGGATCTTGTCGGGCGCTGGCCGACCAACGCTCGCTCGTGTTTGGGCGGCCGATGTCACAGATCGATCGATCCAGGCGCATGGATGGAGCAAACGGAACAGTGCATGCCAAGGTAGCACGTCGCGCGCGTACTCCACTACTCCATATGGTTGGCGACGCCGGCAGGAAAGCTAGCCGGCCGATCGTGAATTGGTCGGTGTCGATACTGGGATATACACTCCACTATAAGTATATACCTTGTCTTTGAAATGCTTAATGCTGCAGCCTGTTGTATGGAATTGAACCTCCGGCCAAGGCACACGCATAGTACATGCTTCTGCTCTAGCCGGCCGGCCGCTTGTTTGTTGCAGCCGACCTGACAATAAGAACCTGTGCATGTTGAAATTAATGTAGCCCGTGTTGTGTGTGTAGTCTGGTTGGGCCGTTTGGTTGGGGAAAGAGCAGCATGTAGCCTCTCTTCCCGATCGAGATGGGAGAAGCAAGCAGGACATACACGTGTACGTTAATCCACGAATCATTGGATGCACGACACCAACGTCCCCGTCCCCGTGCCTCGCGGATCCTGTCTCTCCTCCCAACTCCGATGATTCCACCAACCCAACCGCTCACTCCTCCCGGACACGCGCGCCGCCTCCTCCCTCCTCGACGCCTTCCTCCTCCTCGCCGACGCACATGGCGCCTTCCAGGAGGCCCTCCTCCACCTCAGGCACCACGCCGCCGACGTCCAGGCCGCGCTGCGCAGGCGTGACGCCGCCAGGCTCTCCTCCGCGGTGCGCTCCCAGCGCCAAGCACACAAGGACCTCGCCAGGCTCGCCGCCTCCGTGCGCGGGGCCGCCACCAAGTGGCCGGCGCAGCTGCCGTCCTCCGCCACCGTCGCCGAGGTCGAGGTGTCCGGTGTCCTCGCCGACGCGATGGCCGCTATCGCATCAGCGTCCGCGGCCGTCTTCTCCGCCGTCGAGACCATGTCAACCATGGCCACCGCGGCGGCCGCGTCCACGTGCTCCTCCTCCTCATCATCTTCCAGCAAGACACCACTACTCATCTCGCTAGTGAGGAAGAAGAACAGAAAGTCGGCTGCTGCCGTCCCCGACGAGGAGAAGGAGATGGCGGCGTCGGAGAGAATGGAGGAGCTGGAGGAATGCATGGCGGCAATGGAGAGCGGCAACGACAGGGTGTTCAGGACAATCCTGCACACCAGGGTCGCTCTCCTCAACACGCATGCTACCCTAATTAACTAATTAATTACTCTCTGCATTCCAAGTCCCCAAATTAACCCAATCAAGTGTACATAATGTTACTATTTGAACGAATTGAAGCAAAAGCTCTTGCTCGTTCTATTATCTCCTTCTCTCTGCCAGCGTCAAATATTTCAACTGCGTTACTTACCGTGATGCAAAGCAATAATACGCCTTAATCCTTGCTTGTTTGCAGGGGATCACAAGTTCAGAACCAACTGATTTCGAACATATAGATACAGAGGAATACTCTGTTAGTCTGTTTTGGAACATCTAATCTGTCTTTACGACATGAGCAATTCTATGGTTCTTGAGGAGGTACCAAAAATTTAGTGTAAAATTTGATACCTCATGTTACCTCGTAGTACCTAGATACTAAGAGGTACCAAATTTATAATAGAAAAAGTGGTACCTCATGATACCTCCTCAAGGACCCTCTTACAACATATATTATTGCCAACATTATCGAATGCAATTAAGTTGATTTCGTATCACAACAATAACTACATTATTAAGCTCATGAGCTGGGTGAGTGTCCAGTTCGTGCAGGTCATTTCACAGCGCTAGTCACCACGCTCTATCCATCTAACTAATACGCGTGGCGTGGCTCAGATCTGGATCGACCATTGCAAGGACCCAACCTAATTCACAAATTAAGCATCTTAACAACTCTTTGGTGCATGCTTATGTAAGATTAAATCGTGTCCCACATCTAGATCTCGACCAATAAAATTAATCTTCCCCGCTAATCGACAAGAAGCCCCCGAATATTCGGCACGCAGGGAGAAATGTACGGCTCGTAATGGATTTATTTTTTACATGTCAACTAAGTGGTTATAAAAAAATAAAAAAACTTGACAAAATATATTGATATACAATATATCACGCCACGAATATATAAGTTCAAATTTAAATTCTAGTTGTAATAAAAATAATAAATTTAATTGTGAATATATGTATACTAATTAAAGTTTGATTTGTTATTTTTTATAACTTGTAGAAGTCGAATTTAAACTTACATATTTGTGAGATGACATATTAAATATGATATTTATCTACGCCACGAACATATAAGTTCAAATTTAAATTCTAGTTGTAATAAAAATAATAAATTTAATTGTGAATATATGTATACTAATTAAAGTTTGATTTGTTATTTTTTAGAACTTATAGAAGTCGAATTTAAACTTGCATGTTTGTGATATGACATATTAAATATGAAATTTAACTTGTTAATTTTTTGATTTTTTTATAATCATTTAGTTGACATATAACAAATGAATGGATGCCCACCTACGTGATTAAAAGTGTTTCTTTTTTTACTAGCCGTTCAGATTTCCCTATAATCTTCGGCCAACCAACCAGCATAAGTTACATATTGTTTGTACACTTCCGGTACTTCTCTTGTGGGTTTATGTCTAACAAATTAATTGTATAACTCGACACGATGTTTTCGGTCGTGCTGCCCCGCTCACCACACCGTCCTTATCCATCGTCCACGGCCATCCCTTAAAACCCGACCTCATTAATTAATCATACATCCTCTATCGAAATTCGGGCACCGCAGCACCGGAGAGAAGAGGCAGAGCTCGCATTACATCATTGGATGAAGATGGCTGTTACCACCATCGCCATTGCCGACGAGTTTCCTCCTTCCACTCTCCCCATCCCGAGCTTGAAGACTAAGATATGGGGAACCTAGCAATCTTAATTAGTCACATGAAACATGGCAATTGGTTTTACAATATGTTTCAATATGTTTGAGATAGATGAAACAATGGCCACCAATTTCAAACTTCCTAATAACAAGTTAGGGCATGCATGTAAGTACTGAAAAATCAAAATGATTCAGATAGGATTGTCAATGAAGTTTGTTCAACTAAAGAAGAGCATATACTAATGTCGAGGACCGGGAAATGATTGAACCCATTCGTGCAAAACGGTCTTATCAACCTAGAATCGAATCTTCCTCTGAGATTTAATTCAGTAATTTAATTAGCTGTATAGAGCCTGATGATCATCCAGTAGAAGTAGTTAGGGGCTCTGCTGCTTGATGTCTTATATATGGTCGGAATGCATTCTATTAATTATCGATGGAGATATGATTAATGAAGCACCTTATATCCTATAGGTAGCTTGGTACCTAGTTAGGACTTAGGATCAGTATGCATTAAGCAGCACGATTTCGATTGGATTAGCAAAGCAGGTAGGAATAATTTGATTCAATTATTTAGCCGCACTTACCTAAAAAAAGCTATATTTACGCATAAAACGGTAGTACATATATGTCGATCGATGATCTGTTCGTTCTAGCAAGCTATTCAATACAATTTTGCTATATATTTGTCGACAAATTTTCCCCTAAAAATTTGACAGATGTAATTATAGTATAACCGTAATGTAATTACACTGTGACTTGTATGTAATTACACTGTAACTATAATATAACTTGTATGTAACTTTCAAAAATCTCTCCATAACATATTATTTTGGTAAAATAAAGGTTGTGGGAACAATTTTTTTTCAGATATGTGTGTCCTGTGATTTTTTTTCTTCCTCACCAAAACAAATCTTTATAATAGATCTAATAATTTAAAATTACGTGAAACTTACATACAAGTTACACTGTAGTTACATGCAAGTTACAGTGTAATTACATACAAGTTACAGTGTAATTACACTACGATTGTACTGTATTTACATATGTCAAATTTTTAGGAGAAAATTTGTCGACAAATGTATAGGTGGTCCCATTCAATATGTCTTTTGGTCGATAATTCGGCAGACACATCTGAAAAATCTATATAAACCGCACGTACGCACACACATGCGTGCACAATTAAGCTAATGATCGGCACTCAACCTACCTAGATAGCTACCAGCCGGTAGGAGAGGAGAGACCCAAAATTTATATTTTGGGACGACAACCCATTCGTGCAATATCGATCGTTACTGTCATATAGACTAGTACCGTCTACTAACTGATCAATCAAGCATGCAAGTGGTGATGATGAACTAAAATTTGTGATGAACATGCCGGGTCAAAGTTAAACTTGATTTGTTAGCTACTTCCTTCCTTGGAGACGGGCATGCCTCCGTGCATATAAGTGTGTCTTTGGCACCTGTGGAACAACTAATTAATCATGAGCACATGCATCATAATAGCCTGTCCTTTAGTATCCTTCTAGTACTAAGCCCAATAATGTTGTTTGGTGGTTTTGTCCATCCAAAGCTTAGAAATGGACAAAATAAGAGAAAATCGATGAATGAAAACGTACACATATATATGTTGAAATCGAATGATTGAATTGGAGTATATGATTGAATTGTGTGTCCCACCACATACTCGATCCCTTCCTTTATTTTAAAATATAAGTATTTCTAGAATTCAAAATTTATACCATCTTATAAGTATTTCTGGAACACTGATGGTTATCCGTGAAAATCTAAGCATTAATTCTCAACCAATCAGAAGCTTGAAGGGAACCTAATCAATTCATAATTCATAATTCGACCAATGTGATGACTGAAAAAGAATATTTTCCGTCAAGCCGTAACCCTAATCTTTGCTAACCATCTGAGAAATAATGATTATATTTTTAAACATAGGGGAGTATATAATTAAATATCTGTAGGTTATTTAGCAAACACAAAGGGTATGCAAGGCAGAAGATATCCCTTCAGCACAGATTTCTATGTATTGAAATTAGTGCACCAGAAACCCACTTACTTATTACTATTATTTTAATTTTCAAATATAAGCTGTGGACTTGGACCCATAGTAGGAGTACAACATAAAATTTGGGTTTTGGCTGTGTTAATAGATTCCAACTTTTTTCTTCAAATTTTTAACTTTTTCGTCACATCAAATGTTTGGACACATGCATAAAGTATTAAATGTGGAAGAAAAAAAATTGCACAGTTTACATGTAAATTACGAGACGGGTCTTTTGAGCCTAATTACGCCATGATTAGCCATAAGTGCTACAGTAACCCACGTTTGCTAATGATGGATTAATTAGGCTCAAAAGATTCGTCTCGCAGTTTACAGTCCAAATATGTAATTTATTTTGTTATTAGTCTACGTTTAATACTTCAAATGTGTGTCCGTATACGTCAAAAAAAATTTTGACGCCGAACTAAACACGGCTTTTGTTTAAAATGTGCTTGCATGATATTGGCTGAAAATAGATTTTTTTATCATCTCCTATATATATACCTTACATAACAAGGCATAACTGAAATAAATATTAATAATGCTGGCTAATCACATATATATGACATATATGGAGTGGAACATACATGGATCACAGATACTCATGAATAATAATTGGGAAAATGAGATAATCCAAAATAATTGGTAAGCTTGTGTACGTAAGTTAGATACTGGTTCTCCTGTCTTACTTCCTCCGTCCCAAAATAAGTGCAGTTTTGCACTATTCATGTTCAACGTTTGACCGTCCGTCTTATTTGAAATTTTTTTATGATTAGTATTTTTATTGCTATTAGATGATAAAACATGAATAGTACTTTATGTGTGACTAAATGTTTTTAATTTTTTCACAAATTTTTCAAATAAGACGGACGGTCAAACGTTGAACGTGAATAGTGCAAAACTACACTTATTTTGGGACGGAGGTAGTATATGTCTCCTCAAACTCAAAGATAGGAAATTTGGAACAAAAGCTAGCTAATTAAGCAATCTCATATATGGGCGGCTTGTTGGCTTCTAGTAGAAGCATACAATTGAGTTGGCGCAGACATTGCACGCATGCATATACTATATATATAACGAGTTAACGACGACTAATGAATGATATATGTAGCATATGATTACCCGTGCTTGTGAGTTGTGAAATGAAGGTTAATTAAATGATTTTCTGAATGTCTGTTGAGGCTGCCGTTGGGCGGCGCAAGCCACCATCATATATGTTTTTAATCACATGAAGTGCTAATTAACATGAGGTTGATGATGAGAGCGGTTGGACAAACCGAAGGGATACAATGGGTCGTCGTTAATCTTTCTCTCAACTAATCGGCCGTCGATCGAAGAGGTGATCGACTAGGCTGTCTTTTGTCTTTAGCTATAGTTAGGACACGGTTACAGGATAGACAATTGACGACGACGACCATAGATAGAATTGAAGAGATGATTAGCATTAATGATGTAGTATATGACGATGTGATCGATGGATGTAACATGGGCGAGATCGAGATGGCGAGACATTTGGAATCTCATGTCTCCCCCGGCCAATTTGCAAAATCAACAGGCAGCTCATGCGCGTATAGTAGCAGCTAGCAGTTAAAGTATTAGCTGATCGATCGATCCGATTTTTGCGGCGGGCGGGGAATCGATGGATCGGATCGATTGCCGCGTGTCCGACCGCGTAAGAAATTGTCAATCGATCGATCGATCGCTGTGTCGTCGTCCTTGCAATGCTGGCCTTTGGATTAGTGATGAGTTCATCGACCAAGCCAGCTATGCATGTTAGTACAGTATTAGCTATAGGCCGGCCGGTCTTAATGTCAATTGTGAAGCTAGAGAGAGATGCTTGGGCAGCAGCCTCCCCTCGTGCGTGCGATCGAGCTGCCATTAATTGTTTACACTGCGCAGCTAACTGCTGCACGTTGCCGGCTGGTAGTTTGCTGAGCTGCTCATATATATATTCATGCTAATGATCGTGGTGTCCTAATGATAATGATGTTTCGATCGCTAATTAACCGCTACTACGTATGTAAAAAATAATTATGATGTGTTTCCTATATCAGATACTGTATTCTAAAATAATAAATTTTCCAGTACCTAAGAAAGTAACTCAAAGAAATACCTAAATTTTATAATGGAAGTTTTGATACCAAGTTTTATAGTAGAAAATGTTAAAAACAGATGTATATATAGTAGCTAGCTATACCCAACAGCAAGTAGAGAGAGACCGTTAGAGATTAAATTTGCTCCACTGTATACACCGGTGTCTACCCATGCATGATCACCTTGTTGACCTAGTACTGATGATGAGCTAGGTCAATCATGCATGCATGAATATGTGGCCGAGTTTACAGATCATCGTAATTTGACTATCCTGGATCCATCGATGGATCATCATCAGACAGCATGAGTACTATGAGTGGCTGCGTGCATGTCCAACATCTGCAATACACCTAGCTCCGCCAGCTTATCGAACGCAAGAAAGAACATGACACCTCATCCAACAGCTTCATGCAAATGCAGTAGGAGTAAGCACATGCAACAACCGATCGGATCGGATTAATTTTCACTAGCCTTAATTAGCATAGCATTATTCATCTTAACACTAATTAAGCTAGCTGGCCAGCCATGGCAGCCTCCCCTCGCGGATCATGTCCCCCCGCGCCACACGTGCACGTGCAACAACCCCACATGCATGCAACCTCCTCTTCTCCAGCTTATATATGCGCCTCCCCATCTCCATCTCCATTCAACTCCAACACAAGCAACCACCAACGATAACAAGATCAACAAGCAGAAGAAGAAGAAGAAGCTTGCATTGAGCTACCAATTAATTCACAGTCATCATGGCTCCCAGCTTTGGCCGCTCCATCTCCTTCCCGCTCAGTCCGGCGAGGTCGTTCAAGCCCCGATCGGCGGCGGCGGCGTGCCACGTGCGCTCCATCAGCCTCCCATGCCGCTCCCACCCGCTCCTCTCCCACCTCCAGAGCCACATCGCCGCCGTCCGCTCCTGGCTCCTCCAGGACCACGGCGACGCCTCCGCCTCCGCCTCCGTCTCCGCGGGCCTCGCCCACATCCACGCCCTCCACGCCGCCCTCGCCGACCTCCTCCTCCTCCCCGACCCTCAGGACGCGCTCCGCCGCTCCACCGCCGCCGCCGACCGCCTCCTCGACGCCTTCCTCCTCCTCGCCGACGCCCACCAGGGCTTCCACGAGGCCCTCCTCGACCTCACCCACCACGTCGCCGATGCCCGCGCCGCGCTGCGGAGGTCCGACGCCGCCAGGCTCGCCTCCGCCCTCAGGTCCCAGCGGAGGGCCGAGAAGGAAATCGCCCGCCTCGCCTCCACCGTCTCCGCCGCCGCCGCCGCCACCAAGTACTCCTCCCGCCTCGGCCTCGGCGCCACCGCCGAGGAGACCGAGATGACCGCCGCGCTCATGGACGCCGCCACCGCCAGCGCCGCCGCCTCCGCGGCCGTCTTCACCGCTGCCGCCTCCATGTCGTCGGCCGCGGCCTCATCCTGCAGCTGCAAGAAGACGCCGGCGTTCGCGGCCTTCGCCAAGAAGGCCTCGCCGGAGACGGCCCAGGTGGCCCTCGATCGGTTCGAGGAGTTGGAGCAATGCATCGACGAGTCCGAGAGCAGCTGCCACAAGGTGTTCAGGGGCATTCTTCACACAAGGGTTGCACTGCTCAACATTCAGACTCCAACATTCTAGAAACCAACTGAAAATGTACATCTTGCTGACTGCTCAGGAGACGAACTAATTGATCATGTACACACTACATACAATACTGTACATAGAAAACAGAGTACAGAGATTAATACAGAGAGGAAAATTTTGCCATACATCTATGTGTTCATTTATGTGCAGACTTCTATCTGTTCGATTGTGCCTACGAAACAAAAGTTGTTGTTCATTTTCAAACTATTCTGAGGCATACAGCGAAACACATAGGTCTAATGAGTTGAGATTTGTACCAATCTTGAAGGACATCAAATGGCCTTCATTATGTCATTTGCATAGCGAATTCTGTTCAGAGTCTGTTCAATACTTGGTTGTCTTCAGTTTCAGTTTTCTGCAGACTGTCCCTTTTTTTTTTCTTTGAGGAACCTAATTGCATTCAGGACATCAGAAACTGTTCAAGAATGGACGGTTACTTCCAAATGATTATGAGCATACATTACAATTATTTCTCAATGCCAGGAGATAAACCTAACAAATCATTTCCAGAGTAGTTTTTTTTTGGTTGTTGTTAACACAAATACTAGTGCATATTTCAGACAGTTCCCATTTCAATACCTTCAAGAAAACCATAATCTCTTGAAGAAAATCATAATCTCTGTTCATCACAATTACTGGCAGAGCAATATCCTGTGAAGAAAACATCATATTTCCGGATCAACGCGCTCAACTACCGTAATTCTGATTGTCAAAATATACTTTTCTTCCCCTACAAATCTAAACAGTTAAAACGTGAAACTTACATATTCTCAAGACAAACAGTATTTTTGAAAGCTGGTTGAGAGAAGACTTGATGAGAGAATGGCTAGCTAGCTAGCTGCTTGTGTTGACTGCGCCGCTGTTGTGGTTAATTGCACGAGGGTTACAGCTAATTAACACGCTAATGGGAGACATTTGGAATCTTTAAGACCAAACTAAAACTAATCTACCCAGCCTAATTAAGCCGGCCGGTCTAGTTTGATCTATAGTCCAGTCTACTTTGATCTAGCTAGGTACACGGTTTAAAATGTTTAATCAATAGTATAATTAAACTGCGATCGAGTTGAACCACTTGATACTAATTTTAGTTGAGGATTCACAATTAGCTAGGATCGATGATGCATCATCGTCAGTTGAGCTGTCACAAATGTAAGGATCGATGTATATGCAAGTTTCATCAAAATTAAGACGGCACACCCTGCTGTCATGTCGCATCATCGATCGCTCGGTAGCCATGGAGTGATGCAACCATGATCTCCAGGATACAGCCTGTTAAGTGTGGATTAGACAGAAACAACACATATAAGTATTATATATGCTGATGAAATATTGGTTCATGCTTGTAAGGTTTTCTCTTCCCTAGGTCAAGCGCAACCAAGGCCTAATTAGCCAGTTGATTGGGCCTGCCTGGTTTGCTGATCGAAGACGATGGATCGATATGTAATCAGAGATTCGCTCGTGCCAGATAAAATATATATAATCGATATCCTATGGAGGAGAGGAGAGTAGTAGTGTGTACGAGTGTCACCGGCAACACAGGGACATCCCCAGCTGGCATGCTTGCGTACTGTACGTACCCCAAGCTGAAAACACACCATTTAATTAGATTTTGCACAAAGTCTACTCCTTGGAACTGTTCCGATCGTTGCAAAACGATCCTCCAAAAGGGATTGGACTGGCATGAATGAAAGCACAGACCAGTTACCAGCTGCACACAAGGATTAACTAACTGAAAACTTGATTGAAGATGTAGTTGTAATTCTTTCTTGTCCTATATTTCTTCTTATATAATAACTATATGTACTGGGTGTGAAATTAATGTACATGCATTGAGGTGCATAAATTTGTTGCGCGCGGACGGAATACTGGTTTGATCTGGAGTAGCTGCGGACAAATTCAGATCCGCATGTACCGTACACTAGAATCCATCCTGCAACGTACTCTGCATCGATCGTCGGTGACCTGGCCTGGCCGGATTGCTTCCGTGTGCATGCCTTTTCAAACACCTACTATATGTATGAGTATGACGACACCTCACCTTCTTCAGATAGCGATACATTATATACGCTTGCATTATATTCGATCAGCTACCACGATGAGCGTGCCGCCGCCGAGCCCTGCAAGTAGAACGACGACGATGAGGAGGCCGTTCGCCGCCGGGCACGTGCGGTCGGCCAGCGTGCCGTGCCACTCGCACCCGCTGCTGACGCACGTCGACGACCAGCTGCTCGCGCTGCGCTCATGGACCTCCAACCCGGGCCCGAACCCGCTCTCGCTCGCCCACGTCAGGGCGCTGCTCTGCGTCCTCGACGAGCTGCTCCTCCACCTCCCCCTCGCCGCCTCCACCGACCGCCTCCTCCACGGCTTCCTCCTCCTCGCCGACGCCTTCGGCACCTTCCTTTCCGCGCTCCTCGCCCTCAGGCAGCACGCCGCCGAGCTCCACGCCGCCGTGCGCCGCCGCGACCACCCCAAGATCGCCTCCGCCGCGCGCGCCCAGCGCCAGCTCGACAAGGACCTCGCCCACCTCGCCGCCGCCGTCGCGCGCGACGCCTCCAGGTGCGCGCGCGCCACCACCACCGTGCCATCCTGCGACAGCCACCACGGCGCCGGAGCAACAGAGCTCGAGGTCGCCAGGACGGTGGCCGAGGCCATCAACGACACCGCCGTGGCGTCCGCGTCCGTCTTCATGGAGGTCGCCTCCCTCGCCGACGCCGCGGCGGCTGCGGCCGCGGCTCCCGCCACGAAGAAGAGGCTGCCGCCATTGATGCACTCGTCGTCGAGGAGCAAGAACAAGCAGGCGAGCTACGAGGAGAAGAGGGAGGCAATGGCGCTGGAGAAGCTCAAGCAGCTGGAGCAGTGCATCGGGGAGCTGGAGAGCGAGAGCGAGAAGGTGTTCAGGAGTCTAATTCAGGCTAGGGTTTCACTGCTCAACATTCACACACCAACATTTTAATTAATCACACATATTGATATTGGTGCCCAGCCAAACAAATTAAACCAATAAAGCTGGCTACCAATAACTTATATAATCAAGGGACTAATTAATTTTAGGTCTTAACCAATGTTCATGGGTAAAGCTAATATGCTTAAATATAGGTGTGATTACTGCAATAATGTTAGAAATTCTTTTAGGCAAATTAAGTCAGCAGTTCTTCCAAGATGCATGTTTTTGTCTTTGGGTGATGGAACGTGTGATTGCTTGCTATGAACCTCTATGATCACAAGATCGGTAAATCACAGCGCATGAAAATGTGCAATTGCTCATCATGCACGCATGCTTCAATGGAACAAACTAGCCATGCATCTTTTTACTCTGTTATGCTCTGTTCAACAAATACATATTCTGCTCTGTTCAAGCTATACATATTCGTTCCGTGTCCCAGACCAAAGCTGCATTCTAATTGAAGTGTTATGATATGAGATAACAGAAGGAATCTGAAGTTTTGATGCCGATCAGTAAATCTGGATTCAAACATATTAAAGTCCACACGGATGAAATAGCTGCAAGCCTGCAACTGCGACATGTCTTCAGTGCAGATGTACAGCGAGCACAGTGGAATCATGTTTAGTTAGCGGTGCTATAATCGTAAGCACCAACTGTTTACTTGATCAATGTCAGTATTTGCCATTCTTTACAATGAACTATACAAGTATATGCAAAAACATCTCGCCTAAATTGATGTGCTTCCTACAAATTCGCCTTCTCCATTTCACCCAAGGGGATGAACATACAACGCAATTAAGCGACAAACAACTCTGCCTGACCGTCGATGAACAGGCTCATGAACTCTTCCCCGTCCACCGTCTCCTTCTCCATCAGAAGCTGAGCAAGCTTGTGGAGGATGTCGATGTGTGTCGTGATGATCTGCGTTGCTCTTGAGTAGGCCTTCTCCACGAGCTCCCTCACCTCAGCATCCACAACATCCGCGGTGGCCATCGAGTAGTCCTTCTGGCTCGACATCTGCAACCAAAGGATATGAAAAATATCATGCTACCATTCACACAGATACTACGAATTGCCGATAGAAATTCCGAGAAGCAAAACCAACGCAGGTTAGACAGATTGCCACGTCTGGCAGGGCAACCAGTAATCTACTCACAGCCACACAAAAGAGTTGTGTGCCTAACTGGCACTACTCTTTGATTTTGTCACTGCTTTTATAGACCAAGTGTGTTGATGATGACAACATTGGCAGTATATGACTATGTGAGTGGCAAAGTGTAGCGCCCGTTCCGTCGTGGCGCCTAGCGGGAAAATTATCTCCGAAAAACCCTAATTGCGAAATTTGTTTCTTTGATTGTTGTCTAGTGTCCGTGCCATCTCAAGATCTCAATCCCCGATCTATCGTCGAGTTCAATTCCGAATCCAAATCCTTCCAAATCGAATCCCTCCGCAAAAGTCTAGTTTGCCTCCCCCAGGTTCGATGGGCCGAATTCCGCTCGGCCCATCTCCTCCCCGGCCCCCTCTCTCCCGGGCGCTCTCTCTCTCTCTCTCGCTCCCTCCCCACCCCGGCGCGTTTTTCCCCCCGCTCGCTGCTCGCGCGTGCGAGAGCCGCGCCGAGCGCCCCCTCCTCTCGCGCGAGCTCCCCGCTCGCAAAGCCGGCCCCGCGCGCCGTTGCTCGCGCGCGCGCCCGCGTGGTTTCCCGCCCGAGCCGCGTTGTCTGCGCCGTCCGCGTCGCCGGTCCCGCTGCCCAGCCGCGCCGCCCGTTGCTTCCCGCGCGCGCGTGCCGAGTGGCCGACCGCCTGGTCGCCGCCGCCGTCACCCCCCCCCTGCCGCGCCAGCCCGCGCCTGTCGCCCGTGTCGTCGCGCCGCTCCAAACCATCCCACCGTCATCGCCGTCGTCATCGCCCGGCCCCCGCCACTCCGCGCGCTAGCCTCCAAGGGGCGGAGGCAGAGAGCCCCTCTCTCCCTGCCGAGTCTCCCCGCTCCCTCCTCCTTTTCCCGAATCGGCAAAGGGGCGAGCCCCCTTTCTCTCCCTCCTTTTCCTCTTTTTCTCCCCTTTTTCCCCTCTCGCCGGCGTCACCTCCTGTCGCCGCTTTGGACGCTAGCCGGAGCGCCAGCTCGTCGGCTTGACCGCCCATGTCGGTTCCCCTCTCTCAAACCGACATTGCCGCCCATTTAAACCCGTCTTCCCCCTCCCTTCCTTTCCTCTCCCATTCGCCTCCTCACCGTTGCCGCCGCTCCCGTGCTCTGCCTCGCCTCCGCCGTCCATCGCCAAGCGCCGGGAGAGCCGGTGCGTTCGTGGACGCGGAAGGGGACTCCGGGCGCGCCCTCTTCTTCCTCTTCCTCGGCCCGAGGCCGGAGAGATCACTCCCGCGCCGTCGGCCTCTCGTCACTGCGCCCCGTCCCGCACGGTAGTGTCTCTCTCCGTTCTTCCTCCTCGCTCCATCTCCTCCCCCTAGCTTTCGGTAGTAGCTTGAGTAGACTCCCCGTAGTTAGCCGGCGCCGCCCCGACCGTTGCCGTCGCTCGCCGTGTGCTCGCCGCCGTCGCCGCCCGAGCTCCGTAGCACCCGCTCGTCGCCGGCCTCGCTCGGCGTAGTTCCGCCCAATCCGACGCTAGCGTCGAGTTCCCGAAGCCGCGTAGATGCTCTCACCGCCGGGAATCGACCTCTCGTGACCTCGTCGCCGTTTCCCTCTTCTCCCGCCGCCGGTTGCCGCCGCCGCAATCCGCCGCCGTCGAGCAACCTCCGGCGAATCCGAGCCGTTGGCTCGCCTCCCCTTGTCACGTGCAACCGTCCGGTGTGCTCGCTGTTGCCCGTATCGCCGTGGTTCGCTCCGCCGCTCGCCGCCGCCGCCCGCCGTCCATTCGCGGCCGGGTCGTCGTCTACCTCCCGCCGGCCCGCGTGGCAGCCACGTAGGCGCCACGTCGGCGCCAGCTCAGCCAGACCGGGTCGGGCCGACCCCGGTCGGTCCCTCCGCGTGCGCGCGATCCACCGCGAGCCGTGAGGCTGCGCGTGGGCCCGCCGCACCTGCGTCCACCGCGGACCGCGCGCATGCACCGCGTCCCTTCCCCGCCCGCGCGCGTGCGTCGCGTGCTCCCTCCGCACGGTGAGCCGAGCCGCTGACAAGCGGGTCCCACCCGGGACCGCGCGTGGTGAGCCCGGTCCACCGGCTCTCTCTCTCCTCCCTCCCGCGCGCGCGCGAGTTTGGGCCGCCTTGGGCCGGCCGGCCCATTTAGCTCGGCCGGACCGCTCCATTTCTCTTGGGCCGCGCCCTAGCCGTCCGAGAAAAGTCTATATTCCCTCCCTCCCTTCTTTTCTTTTTCTTTTCCAAAAAGGATTTAATTAAATCCTTTTCCTTTAGATCAAAAATTCAATAATTTTAGAAATTCAATATCTTCCCAACCGTAAATCCGTTTGACTCCGTTCAACTTCCAAAATTCCTCAAATCTCGAGATCTATCTAATGGCACGCTTAGAGGTCATTAATAGGGCTTTATTTTCGCCGTTTGTTGAGTTGTTCCGTTTCGCGTATAGTTTCAGAGCCCGAAGACCCGCAGTGCGAGGATTTCGAGGATCAAGCTCCAGATCTCGAGCAAGGCAAGCCACCTTTGAACATCTTGAGCCTATATTTGAAATTTAATTATGTTGCTTGAAAAATATTATGCACTGATAGGATCACACTTAATCCGTTGTCCCGTCTGCAAGGCAGATTGGCGGACTTACCTAATTTGCTGCATTAGATCCCCCCCTTTGTTAATTGTTATATCATGTCCCCTTGTAACCATCTAGTTGCGTCTCGATATCCGTGCATCCTGCGCGAGTATCGACGGACGCCTTCAAACTTAAAATCTGAAAAACAACTTGGGTAAAACTTAGGTTTACAAAAGACTTGGAAAACCCGACACCTGGGTCGGTGCTTGCGAACTAAATGAATTTCCAAAACCGCGGACCGGGGAACGTACCGGGTGTACGGTTTCCCGCTCTTGCACTTAAGGACCGTTTCCTTGGAATTTCATCCGAACATAAGACAAGTACGACCACATGGGTGGAATGGGATGCCCCTGGCTGAGTAAATTGCTAATCGGGGGAGCCTTGATGCCGAGAGACATGTGGATTCGCCGGGGTGGTGTCGGGGAGGACCCCTGGGCTTCCTGGCACAGTATGGTCTGGGACCTAACCTGTTGTTGGTCTGGGACCCCTCTCGTCGGCATATGGTAAACCTGTGTCGGCTTTCGAAATGCCTTGTCATGAAAGCTTGGAGGTCTCCCGACGTGGCTGATCCCCACGGGCTGGATGATCCGGGTTAGTAATGTCATGTGGGTAAAGTGTACCCCCTCTGCAGAGGTCATTAAACTGTTCGAACAGCCGTGCCCACGGTCATGGGCGGATGTGAGGTGATTCCTAGCGTAGTTTTGTTTGACTACTGCTTGTGAAATTGCTGTTGTGAAAAGGGGTTCGATGTTTGAAAAATCTGCAGCTGATGAGATCAGCTAGGCCCGGGTGGCCGTTTGAAAAGTTGTTGGCCCGGGTGGCCGTTTGAAAAGCTGTTGGCCGGGTGCCAACCTTGTTGCAATCCTAAAGACTGACACATTGCACATACTCCGACCGGACGAGACGCACTGTCTCATCCGTGTCGTTTGAGAAGCACTCACCTAGTTGTTTTAGAAAAAGAGTTCAAATAAAATCAATTGCAAAAACAACAGCCTTTCCTTGAAGCCTGCATTAAACACTTATTTTCCCCTGGCTTGCTGAGTACTCCCGTACTCACCCTTGCTCTATATAAATAATCCCCCCCCCCCCCCAGTTGCTGAAGAAGATGAAGTGGATCCTGCTGACGAGGAGTTCTTCCAGGAGCAAGTCGGCTACGATGAGTTTTAGGGTTTCGGCCTAGTTCCCAAGTCGCGCCTGTGATGATTGGTCCAAGTCCTGGCTTCCGCTTTCCTTTTGTAATGCAGTTGTGAGCTCGGGATCTGTCCGCAGCCCAACATGACTGTACTTCTACTCTATAATAAAGAGACCTCTGTTGCTGTGATACTCTGTCTCCCTGTGATACCAGCACTGTTTCCTAGGACTGGTATCGATTAACAGGTTAATTTGGAGCGTCACGGGCTAGTTCCGGTCGGGACTAGTTCGGGGCGTGACACAAAGTTACAGGAAAGACTAGACTATACTATTCATCAAGGTTAAAGGAACAAACTGAACTTCAGGAAATGGACCTTCCCCATAGGACAGTAGACACTTCAGAACACTAGATGCACACTAGGGCAAGAAAGGCTGGGCTCATATGTTGTCATTGTTGAAGTTTGCACGTCTAGTTCTTCAGTTAATTTTCACAGACTCTGCTTCTAGGGTAAGAAGTTTTTCTTCTTTGATAGTC